GTTATAAGCTTCATTCCATGTAAAAGGTATTGTTTGTAGTTTTAATCAATAATGGAACTATATGATTGGTAGATTAGGACTTGAGGTGAAATCTGTTTTATGATATTTGAGTTAATTATAGCTGTATTTATTTTAATTTCTCAGATATTCACTTGGCACCTAGTTGATATAAAGGTTAAAGCTTCTGGTGAACATTAAGTTTTACTCTGTTTTGTTCAATACTTTGGCTGTTTGTCAGACTGAGTGAAGTGTTTCAAGTAATCATTAGATTTTACTCAGTCAAAGCTCAGGATGTGACATCTGCATGACCTAAAGCATCACATAAAAGACCTGATTTATTTCATTTTAATTCTTTGTTTTTATTTATTTATTTGTGACTTTTCTGCACAGTGCAGTAGATCCTCCTAGTTTGACATTTTAATGGTCATATTACAAAGAAAAAGTGCAGGTGGAAGGCACGGGTCTTTACTACAGAAATCATAGCACTACTTATGATATATAGCCAAGCAAGGCCAGGGGCAATATGAAGGAGAGAGGGGGAAAAAAAGCTGTTACRGCTCAATAACACAGGCCTATAATCGGCTCACACTTGAAAAACACACACATGAAGTCAAACAGCCCTTGGTTGGTCTGGTTTTTATGAGGAAGCACACCACATGAGGTGATCARCGTATGTTTTGTTGACATAAATTTAAAATTTATTACCGCTGTCAGAAGTGACTGTTGGACCAAGTCGATTATTAACTGAGTAAATGGCCTTAAATAGTTTTATGAGAACTTCCTTAATGGCTACAGTCAGTCTGTTTCACATCACCCTTCATTCCTCCCACCACATAGACGCGAACATTCACATAAATGCATTCACACACACACACACATGCAAACACACACACACACACACACATGCAAACACACATGCACTATCTCAGAGGCACTCCATAAAAAACTGGTATGATGGGATTTTCAAAAAGAGTGTGTTTGATAACGGTTTATTTTGAATAAAATCCCCAAACTGGTATAATTTTTGTGTCCTTTTATAAATCTTTAAACATTTTCAAAATACTTAAAAGTATGTCAAACAATCAAATATGATCAGATTTTGAAACATTGAAATCCACATAATAAATAAATTTAATTGCTTACTTTTGTACTATTTCCCATTTTTTCAGCAAATAAAGACAAATAAGTATGGTTCATAAATTTCATTTTTTGTCATTAATATATCAGATTTTCTGTTTTTTAAGTAAAAAAAAGACCTTTCGCGAACCMATACCCTATCAGTCTTTGTCAGTGTTTGTGATATTAGAGATGCTTTCTATTTTTTAAAAGGTTTCCTGTCCTTAAAAAACAACAACTGCCATGTTGGAGTAAAGTCAAAGATGGCTTTCTAAAGGTCTTGAACTATCCTTTCAGGAAACTGGATTACTTTAACAGGTGCTGTTTTCATTCTGTTGAACATCAAGTAATGTGCTGTTTCAGTGAAAAGCAGCACATTCTCAGCCATAAACACACACGCGCGCACACACACCACAATTTGCTCATCAGGTCTACATTTAAGGTGAGGAAAAAAAACATGGCATTGGTTCCACTTTGAGTGCCCTTAGTAAGTCCATCCCTGCCTTATCAGTCCTCTGTCTGGGGGGCACAATGGTCAAATAGAGGACGGACACAAAAGGCTTTTGRAAGTCTTTGTGCTCGGTATGTGTTGCAGCCTGATTCCTACGTGTGTTTTCCTCTTATCGGTGTAAAAGTGAGCGCATCATGTATGACCCTTAAAGAAAATCTCGCTCCGTAGCTTTGCTCAATTGGTTGTGCTGTTTGTGTGGATGGCATTTACAAAAGGTAATTACTGATGGGTTTCTCCTACCTGCAACATGAGAAATACCGGTCTTAATGGCGTCTGTCAGAGGAAATCTGTACGAGCATTACTGGAGTGAAACAGCCATGAATGAAGCATTTCTGCATAGAAGTGGCTGTTTGTCTATTTGACTGAAAAAATGTAAATGCATTGCAGTGAGACATAGGCATGATGTTCTCTGTTCCGTTGTGTCATTGCTGCTTTTCTGGGTAACTTTCATTCCTGTTAATTCCTTGTATTGAGGTCATCTGGCATTTATAAGACCGTTTATTTCACAGACTGCCAAAGAGCTGTCAACCTGCCACAACTTCAAGCTGCCAATTAATTATTATGACTTATTCACCCTCTTAACATTTTCATGTAAGTCTAAATTTTACCCGCTCTCATCCAGTTTCAAGGATGTTACTCAGCAAATAGTTCTGAGAGTTAAGCTTGACTGTTTTTAATTTTTCCAGCCTCTGCCTCAGAAAGTGCAGCAGTCTGGCTCAGCCTCTGCCTACCTCGCTTCAGGCACTAAAGAGAGCTGTAAATCAATCTGCATTTGACACCTGACATCAATCAGTCATGTTTTTGGAGAGTGGCACCACCTTCTCTTTAGAGATTTTGTCGAGTGTCACTAAGATGGATAGCTGTCATCTCACCCAAGTTGAGCGGATCTCTTATCAAGAGCATTGTTTCCCCAAAAATGCACTTGGCTGATCACTCTGCGCCACCTGACTCRACGGTGAAGACTTTCAAATGTCTGACAGTGTCTCGTTTTGTCTGACAAAAAAGCAATACGCTCACCTGAGTGTTGAATTATCTGCTTTTTGCATGTGCAATTTTACCCTCACCTGTCGGGGTTCTGATTCCCACAGTATCATTACCCAGATCCAACTCGGTTTCAGATGCTCGCTGTGTGAAAGGGTGACCTATTTGGAAGATTAAACTCTGACAAACCATTATCWCAATTATGGGTGTGTACGCTGCTCTCAAGATGAAATATTTGAAGCATTTGGAAGGCTTAAGGCACCGTGGCAGTTGTTTGGCAATTCTTGTCACCTTAATTGCTTTAGAGCACTTTCAAATATCTCTCAAGAATAATATACTTTGCACTGAGCCGTGGGGTATTTGAGGGTTTTGTAATAGAGGTGGTTGTAAGGATAAACTCTCTGTTGTCTGTTATTTAGTTACCCAACCTTCAAGGCCCTTTCCACATAATCAAATATTGACCCTTCATCTTGTCTGACCTTGTGCGCCCAAACTGTGTTACAGGTTAATGACTGACCATTTGGAAAAAGACAATTTATTGCAGATAAGACTTCACTGGTCCCCATAAAGCCACAAATGGTTTAAGACACTTAACAGCCACCTCGCATATATCATAAATAAAWCATTCTTATTCAATTTACAGCATATTTTTCTGCAACACTTGAGATGTTAATGTCTTCAATTGAATAGTACATCGACAGCTCTAAGTCATGCTCCAGTGACCTGTGCAAAATAATATGTGGTGTAGTTGTTGGTATTTGTTACACTGATGGTTATTGTTAAGCTCTGATGATTGATTGAGTGTGGCATTTCTTTACAAAATAAAAAGACCCCATTTTTGTGAGCTGCAAGCACTTAGTAAAAAAGAAAGACACGGTGTTAGAGGACTGAATATGTATTTGAGTGACATGAATGCACATTAAACTTTGCCTGATCTGACTGACTTTCTCACTGATGGAGTACAGATGATGAAATGTTTGTTTTCCTTCTTGTCAACAGGAAAATGCACAGTGGAATGAAGACCTACAGCTGTGAGCTGTGTGGGAAGAGCTTTCTGGACAGCCTCCGTCTACGAATGCATTTGCTGTCTCATTCAGGTAAAGGACAAAAMAAAAAGTCRACCCCGGATCAGTAATTTATACTATTACTAATGTTGTGCTAGCACAAAAAAGTTTTTATCGTAGAGCGTTTAATAACAATAAAACAAAGATTTTCTGTCTGATTCTGTCAGGAAAAAAATATTAAAACAAGTGAAGCTACAAAAAAAATTAAATGAAAATGGTATAGCTTTATTAGGTGGTGTACAGTTGGATACATGCAGGGGTGGAGCCAGAGGGATGGCTCTGGTGCCACCTCCAAATAAGTGAGTGGGGATCATGGATTTTGTGTTTGCAAATAAATTTTGTCAAACATTTTTTATCTGAAACTACTGTGCTGTATACATTTTTTTAGCTGTGTAAGTTTTTAGAAATAGCTAAATTATAGCCCTTTGTAAAATTAGCATTAGCATTAGTGGTCAGCTTAATTGGAGATTTGACAATTGGCTATTTGTGTGTGATCATGTTTAGCCGCTCGACAACAAACTGCATCTCAACAAGTCTTAGAATGGCTGAATGACATTTCAAGTCAGTTGTGGTAGCCATCTTGAATTGTTTATTAGCATTTACAATTTGGTATAGGTTGTTTTTGGCTAATCCTACCCTAATCTTCAGCTTTGTATCTCTAAAAATATTTGCATAATAATGTGTGACTGGCAATTAGCATGTCTTCGCTATGACCACAGATTTTCAGCTCAATATTTCTTAAAACAGCTGAATTAAAACCAATTGTAAATAGCTGTGGTGGCCATCTTATATTTTCAAATTTAGAGTGTTTTTATTTATGTGTATTTGCACCTCTCCTAAAAAAATAAATAAAAAAACACCCCGGCCACCCCTGGGCCACTCCTGGAATAAAAGTCTAGCTTCGCCCCTGGATACACGTGTGGCTTTGCAATAAAAATAACTCTGTATTTACAGTTGTGTTACTTTGCAGTTTGGGTTAAAGTTTTTCAAACACAAAAGCAAAAAGAGGTGACTAGGTGAAGGGTCAAAATCCATCAGCGCAACCCCACCCATCGAGTAAATTTTTGACAACCCTGTAAAGCTAAGGTGAAACTTATAATTAGTTTCAAAGTGCAAATGCATCAGAGTACAAAAAAAAAAAAAAATGGGTCATGAGACAAAAGTTTTAAAGCCACCACTTTAATCCTCTTTATTTTGTAGTGGTTTTAGTTGTACCTTTTTTTTATTTGGAATCTAAGACARTGGAAACATATTATAGAAAGAATTAGAATTAAAGTAAGTGAAGTCACACATTTTCAATCAACCAGCTTCAGTGCCCTATATTAACGTGCATGTTTTTCTATTTTCCTTTATGTCTTATATTACATGTGTGTGTGTGTGTGTGTGGGAGGGGGTGTCTGAGTATATAAATAAAATTGTAGTTTTAAACTTAATGTTAACTACTTTAATCAAGTTTAACTTGTTGTGAAGAATGAAAATGAACTATATTTTAACAGACTTTTAGAATTGACTTGGACCTTTTAATGTTGGTGAACATTTTTTGATACTTGAACTTTACAACATACTTTGATTTCATATTATTTTTAGTGTTTTGTCAAACTTAACTTTAGCATTTATAGTTGGTAGTGACGTTACTGCAGCGTAAAATCTGAGGAGAAAAAAATGTTTTGCATTTGTTTTAACTTACTAAAAATGTTTGTTCATTTTGAGCAAATCTGAGTTGCATCAAAGAAATAAATCTTTAGTGTTGGAGAGCAGCTCTGAGGTGTGTTTTCTTAAGCAGTGTCTGCACAACATCACTGTCATCCTGTAGCTCTGTAACACTGGAGGTCTTAAAGTTGTCAGGACACTAAACACAATAATTAGTGCAGTCTGACACTATTACAACCAGCACTAASCATGCATATTTTATACCACATCCCACCTGGGACACTTTATTGTCTCATTGAATTAACCCTTTACCCTTATTTAAATTAGCCCAACTGAAAACCTAACCTAGATATAGTCTGACCCCTTAAAAATAGCTTTGTACCCGTGAGGACCGCAATTTGGTGTTTGGGTTTTTAGAAAAACAAATACGTTTGTATCTTGGTAGCTTCTAGTCCATATTGTGACATAAAGACAAACAGACACACACGCTGTAATGTAAATGTTGCAAAACCTCTTGGAGACTCATTCATGAATGCTGTTTGTGAACTAGTAACCAGCTACGGTTAATAGCAGCAGCAGTTTATATATATACAGTATATATATATA